ATACAGCCCCACAAAGTCTAGTGTCTTTTAGTAAATCCTTTGGGGATGGAGGGAGTTGGCCAAACAATTAAGAAATGCACTGCAGGTGGGCAATGAGAAAGGACATCTGGGCCTTTTAAAAGAGTTGTTCATGGTTCTTGACTTAAAATCCTAAATGACTTGCAAAAAAAAGTGTATTATTAGTTCGAGGAGAAATTAACTAATTGTGCAGTGGGTCATAGTTCAGATAGTGGTAACCAGCCCATATATTGCTTCCTGGATTCTACAGTAAAGTCAAAGGAATAGAGGGAAATGTCTACGTTGTCAGAGAATCCCAGCCTGTGAGCTGTCTAACCCTTCATTTTACAGGCAATTAAAAATAATCTTGGAAAGGCTAGAAGATTAACCTAAAGTCACATTACAAGTGGCTGAGTTGGAATCATGTCCTAGCGCCTTTCTTACTGTAAAAAGTGGGGGTGGGAGTGGGGGGTGGGAATCAGAATCTCCTCTTTACCCATTCCCACTCCCAAGATTTCTGGCCAGACACTCCCTTCTCTTCTCGTTCTGTTCCCGCCTTATTCTAACCCATCACCCTTTCAGATCGGGTTTGAGATAGGGGGTGAGAAACTCACCCTGGGCGACCCACGGGTCGTGGGGAAGAAAAGCCAGAACCTTTCACGTTGGTGAGCCTGTGGCTCTTAGGGAGGCGGGCGCACTGCCCAGCTGGCGCCTAACCTCGGGACGGGTGAGGGGGGAGGCTGGAAGAGAATCCGGAGAGGAAGGGAGGGAGCAAGGGCTCCAAGGCGGGCTGAGAAAAGGTATAGCTGCTGGAGAGAAATTAGACCTCGGCGCCTCTGGGAAGCAGGATGGTCCAGCACTCACACAGCGGCGGGGAGGGCCCGTGCAAACTCCTCTCTCTTCCTCGCACTGGGCCCTTTGTTGTCAGCCTCTGCCTCTGGCTCCCGCTCCTGCCCTCCGGTCCCCCGGCCCCCCTGAAGTCACCCCAACTGCACTCATAATATTTTGCTTTGCGCCAGGTCTGTTTTCTACCACAAACTTCCAGCAGTCTCCATGGTGACGCGCTGGGGAGGAGGGCGGGCGCGGCTTTGGAAATCCCAGGCCCGAGGCGCTGGGCGGCCCCTGCAAACTTTTCCGAGTCTCTGGGACCTGCAGGCCGGGTAGGAAAGCGCGCTGTCCCAGGCTGCCGCACGGAGTCGCGTGCTGAATCCGGGACTCCGAGGGCCCAGCCTGCGTGCAGCGTCTGCGCCATCAAGGGTTGCGGCCTCGGGGACCAGGAACCCTGGTACCGTGTGGCTCTCACTTGACCCCGCTGCCAAATCCAGACGCCCGCGCTTAGCAGGTGGCAGAATTGGGGGCGCACATGCCCCGTTCGCCCGCGCGCGCACACACACACACACACGCACACACACACGCCCAGGGAGGGCGAGACTGCCTGGTTTGGGCGCGGGAGCAAGGCTCGGACCTCCGGCTCCTTGCTTTCCCAAGCCCGCAGACAGTGGCTCCTTCCCCAGGGCTGTGCCTGGGCAAGAATGGAGGAGACTCGGGCTCTGTTCCCTCCAGGACGCACTTTGCCTTGTGGGCACGGCGCCAAGGCCACTGGACATCCCTACACCGGGCCCACAAAGGCATATAATTAATTTGGTGGTAGAATTTTAGACAGAATTTGTGCTGAGCTGGGGGCCTGTAGACTAGCGTGCCCTCCTACCGATGCGACCCGGGGAACTCAAATCCGGCTCCAGGAGTACTTTGGCCGCCTCAGCTCTGGGTTCTGGAGATGGAAGCGGAAAGTGGATGGAGGCAGAAGTTTCCAGCTCCAGCTTGGCAGTGGCCCTCTCTAACGCGCCATCCCGTTTTAAAAGAAATGATCCGTCTGTTGCGTAGGCGACCGAGCCGGCCCGGCCCACTTTGCACAAGTTCTCGGTGGTCTAAAATTCTACCCACTTTCCCCCATCGTTCTGGAATTTCCGGATAACTTGAGTAACTGAGCAACGATCTCCCGGGCAGAGAAGCCTAGATTGGACCCGGCGGACACAAACACACAGCTGCCGGTGGCCCGCGTGGGGAGGGCAGGCCACGCGGGGCTCAGCACCCACTTTTGCGCGGCGTGGGGCTGTAGCGTGGGCCGAGCAGAACGCGCGCCTGCGCTTACTGCAAACCGCGCACCGGCCAGAAGGTGCTTCGACTGCCCCTGCGCGCGCCTGTCGCCTTTGCCTCCTGCAGGAGCACCGCGGCGCACCGCAGCCTGGGGCTTTGCCTTGTCCGGCTTGGCCGCGAGAGAGCCTAGGGCCCAGGAGGCGCGCGCCGGCTGTCCAGCTTCCCCCGACGGGGCCATTGTCTTAGCTCCACACTTGTCGAGTATTTTGGGGAAACTCGAGGAATATATTACTGGCTCGGTGTGCGAAACAAAGGGGCGCGTTTCCGCAGGTCATGCTGAAGTGGCCCCAAAGCAGGCCACTAGAGCTCTGGCCCCTGCAAAACTGTTCTCCCGGGCCCGAGGCACTTCGCGGGGATTTTCCTTTTAAGAGCAAGGGACAGTGGCCCAGCTCGCTCGCCTCTCTTATCCTGGACGTTTCCTACTTCGCCCCAGCACTTGCTGTGAGTCGGTTGTTCCAGTCCTTTCGGAATGAAATAATAACAGCAATATCCTGGTTCTGATCGCGCGCGATCTTATACAAAAGGAGCAGAATTGAACTGCTCCGTGGAGCGCCCGTCTCTGCAAGCCAAGGAGAAAGGACCTTTACATAACAAGGGAAACTCAGAAGAAAAGCTAATTGGATTAAATTCTCTGGAAGGGAGGTGAGGGAAGGCTTCTGGACTGGACCGCGCCGAGCCGCACTTCCCTTGTCGTCGTCGGTTTTGCAAGTCCGAGTGAAATGTCACCTGGTGCGCCTCTTGTCATTTCTTCACACTGTCGTGTACCAAAACTTTTGATTTTGCGTTCAGGGTGGTGACCTAGGGATGTCTCGGGTATACAAAAGGGGGAGAGGTGGATGGGGAAAGGATTTCTGTTTCAGAACCTCTTTGGAGTGTTTGCAGTTGAGGTGAAGAGGACCCGGTGCTCCCACGACCACCAGTTGCATCCAGAACAGAAAACACCACGTATCCACAGCCCCACAGTCCTCCCCAGAAGTACCGAAGGGCTCTGGTCAGGTGGAGGAGGCAGCTAAAAACACCAGCTGGGCCACTCTGCAGGTTTGCGATGTAGGCAGACCCTATGTCCCTGCGTGGGGCGCTCGAAAATACTTGGCCACAAACTCTGCAGACATGAGTTTAATTTTGTTAAGGATATGCATTTTTAATGTTAGGGTTCTCAGGAGGTGGTGAAGGCGCAGCGCTTGAGATGAAAAAATGGTGGAAAAGGTGCTTTTCCTTCTCTGGGCTCCCGCTTTACCGCCAGCAGAGACCTCAACGGGGCCCGCTGTGTCCGGAGGCGCACGCGGGCAGGCGACTCTTCTCCTTGCCTTCGTTTGTCATCGGGTATAGGAAGGAGAACTTCGGGGCTTAGCCTTTCCCCACTCCCTGGGGGCTCACACCCACCCAGAGGAGGGCAATCAGGGAGGGCCTTGACTCTAGGAATCAGAGATCGACAACTACCCTAAAACACCGAATATCCCCCCTGGCAAGAGCAGCCCGGTGTCTGGGCCACCAGGGCTGCAGCGGAAACCTGGAGAGGCCTTAAATATTTCTGCAGGGACTGAGGAAAGACCTTCTGGGGCAATGCCCCATGACCCCAGCCTCCACCCCACTTCCATATCCAGCCTGCCTAGGGGTGGAGTTGGGGAGACATTCGTGCGGCATTTATTTGCTCAAGGAAGGGACGTGCATGCTTAGTTAGGGGACGGCCGGGGCTGGAAGGCACTTGTTGCTCCGCGCTGCAATGCCCAGCAGCGTATGCGTGCAGGCATTCTCTCAAACCTCGCCACGGCCCAGGCTGCGTCCACTGCCCTATTTCTGCTTCTCCCTGACCTCATCACCCCAAGAACCCCTGAGGCTGCAGCGGGGCCAAAATGAGAATAGCTTGGTTGCAAGAATGAGCCTGGGGGGGTGGGTGAACTGTAAGAGAACTTCCACCTGCATGGGACTTAGGAAGCGTAACAGATCTAGAAGTGTGACGGTTCTTCAAAGGTGCTAGGAGTGGGAGGTGGCGAAAACTACTGGAGGAAGAACCGAGATACCGGGCATTTTTGTTGTGAAAGATTCCTTGGCATCCCTTTTTCGTTGTTAAGGACCGCGGCGCCCCCAAAACCTGACGCCCAGCAACTCTTGAACTGCAGAGCAGTTTGCAGACCCCAACGCCGAGTTTAGCGAGCTATTCTGCGTCCTGCCCTCCCTCCAGCAAGGTCACAGCCCCCGAGTGGAGCCCGGCGTTGGGTGCCCCTTCCTGGCAGAAAAGCTAAAAGCCCGCCCCCACAGCCCAGGACTCCCACCTCCCGTTTCTGTGGATTCCCCAGGACCACCGGGTTCGCCGCCGCCACTCCCTCCAGCTGCGCGTCTCTACCAGCCGGAGCTTCGGTCCCCACCTCCCAGGCGCAGTGCGAAGCAGTCACCCTCCCCTGCCTCGGGGCGTTCCGCTCGGCTTCCCGGCCCTGGCCGCCAGAACCCGAGCGCACCGCTATTCCGAGGCCCCCATACCGGAGGAGGACCGGGCCCGGGAGGGGGCGGTCGGCTGGCACAGTTTCTGCAAGTGGCACCTCGAGCTCGCCGCGAGCCAGCGCATCTTTACGTAACTTTGTGTCCAGGGTAAGCGAAAGCGCGTTCCTTCGCGCGCGCGCACGAACACACACACACGTACACAATCACACGCTTATACACATACTTCCACTCATCCACTTACACACATCGCCTCCAACTGAAAACTTCTGCAAGCTCTCCGTTATTCCTTGGGGTTCCACTGTCAAGTTGACCCGTCTGAACTTTTCCCAACTTCTTTCTAAAGTTCCCCCTCTCCCTTCTCCTTCCCTCCCAATGTATCCCCCCAACCCCCAACCAGTAGCACTAACCTGTGGAATCCATGTCGGGTTCCTCCAGTAACCCACAATGCATGCTCTTCCCATGGACAGCACAGGCGCCCCCCAAAAGTCCTGATGTTTGGGGATCCCCTGTGCTAGAGATGCCCAGGGAGGAAGGGAGTGAGGGAGGGAGAAGGGGAGAGAGAGAGACGCAGAGTGTGAGGGGGCACAAGGATAAAGAAGGAAAGGAAAAGAAAAGAAAAAGAAGAGGAAAGAAAAGAGAAAGAAGAAAAGAGGAGAGAGAGGGTGAGAAGGGAGCGAGCTCGGTGAAGGGGGAGAGAGAAAAAGCGAGCGAGCGAGGGGACACTCAGTAATCCAGCCGGGCAAAGCCAAACCCGTCAAAATGTTTGCGGATGTTTCATGGGAAAAAGCATCATTTTATAGGAGCCCCGATGGGAGCAATGTCATTGATAGGCCAGCCGGCCTGATGAATGGCCGCTCGTCAGATGGGGCCGTGGCGAGGCGCACTGTGAAGCCCATTGTGGGCCTGTTTTGAATAAGAAAAGCCGCCTCCGAAAAGGGGGGCTCAGAGCGACGCAATCCCAGCCCTCCGACTTCCCCCTTCTATTATAGCATTAGCAACGTTTTTCTTATTTAAAGTTCCAGAGGCCTTCTCCAGCCTTCGCCCGGCACTCATTATAGGCGAAATCAAAATTGGCTTAGATGTGGCCCCCTCCCCCTCCCGGCCCTTCCCCGCCATCGGGCCCCGCGTAGCGCAGGCAGGCGGGGAGGGGAGCTGGGGGGGAAGCCGCGGGGAACTCCTGGAGCCTGGGGAGTCGCCTGCGCTACCACGAGTGGGGCCCCACTCCCTTCCTTCTCTTGCGCCCCCACCCTCCATTTTGGTCCTGGGTTAGATTTCTGGTGGTGGCCCTGGGAATGCGGGCGGGGATATGTCTTGACACCTTACACGCGGATCCACAGACACGCGTGGGGGAGTGAGGCGAGCTTGAGGGGGAAAGGGCGGGGAAGGGGAACTGAAATCCTAAGATCCCATCCCCCAATCTGAGCGTGAGAAGGCCGCTAGGCGGGTAGGAGGTGAGTGGCTGGTTCGCCACCTCCAGAACTTTCTGTCTTCCTCTGGGCCTGGGTCCTTCATCCTGTTTCTCTCCTTCCATCTCGCTCTCTCCGCCTGTCTCCCGTTGTCTGTCTCTAGCTCTCTGTCCCTCTCGTCCTCTGTGCCTCTGTCTCCGTCCCTCTATTTCTCCTTCCTTGGCTGCAAGTGTCTCTGTCCAGACCCTGCCTCCACTTCTCTTTGTCTCCCCCTAGGACTCTGCCCCTCTCTGTCTCTATCCCCCTCGGTCTCTCTGTACCGTCCTCCCCCTCCCCCGCGCCTCTTCCCGTAACTCTGTCAGTCTGTCTGTCTCTGTTCCTCCGCCCTCCCCCTGCCCTCCCTACCCCACCGCCGTCCCCCAGTCGGCCTCGAAGTTTGTGAGAAGCCCCGGCGTCCAAGTGGGGACGCGGTTTTCCCAGGGACCCCCTCCTCGGCGGAGTTGAAAGTGCAGAAAGAGGGGGGCAAGGGCCGGGGGGGGGCTGGAAGTGGAAGTCGGGGGGAGCAAGCTGCGTCTCCTGCGGGCCCCGATAAAGTGGCCGTTCGCGGGCCGGCCGCGCTGTGATTAGAATATGAATGGGGCCCGGCGGGCGGAAGAGAAAGGCGGATTACCCCGGGTGCTTTGACCATGGACAGAGGCAGCGCCGGCCGGCCGCGGCGGGGGCGGGGAAGCGCGGAGTCCCTAACGTCGAGCGGGGGTGGGGGTCTCTAACCCCGGGCCCCTGGCTGCGCGCTGCTTCCAGCCATCCTTCGGAAAGACGTCCCCCGCCCCCCAGTCCGTCCCCCTCCCTACAATCAGAGCTGAGTGAGACAATGTACGGGGGCTGGGGGGCCCGAGGGGCCAGCACGTGCCGAGTTAAGGTCACGGTGCGGGAGGAAGGGGGCGGCGCGCGGTACCGGCCGGACAGAGCCCGGGATGGACTGACGGTAACGCGGGGTTCGAATCCCAGCTCTGTAAATTCCTTCACACTCTGGGCCTCAGCTTCCTCGTCTGTGAAATGTAGCAAAGTTGCCCCCTCTCAAGGTTTGGAGGAAGATAACTGAGGCAGTGGTTATACAAGGAGCCGGGCATTTGCTGTTCCCTCTACTTGGCATTCTGTCGGCTCCTCCTTCCTCACAGGTGCCTAACCGGCCGACACCTTTGCGTCACCCTGGTCTCAGCTGAACGTCGCCTCCTCGGAGGGGCTGTGCTTGATCACTCTCTGCGAAGGGCCCTTCCTGCCCCGGCCGCTGCCCGGCTCATTACCCGGTTTATTTCTGGAGGACTTTGTTCACCACCTCATGCCCAGTGCCCAGAACGGCGCCAGGCACATTCTTTCCCGCTGCGATGCTGGTGATGGGAAAGAGGTCGATGGAAACCTTTGGCAGCCGAAGGCCATGGTGGTGGTCACCGCGCGTCCTCGTGGTATGCCTGGCAGCAATGACCGCGGAATTCGAAGTCAGATCTGACTGTCCGCGTTCGCCTCTTGCAGCCTTAGCTTCTCTGCCACTGGAGTAGGCTGAAGAGTAAAAGCCTCCTTCAGACGGCGGGAGGGTCTGACTGTGCGTAGATGGAGCCTGGCCGGGGGCTTTCCTGCGGCCAGGAGCGCGTCCCCAGGGTGGGCGGCTGCCACCGCCCGGAGTGTTTCGGACCTCGCGAGAGAGTCCTTGAGGGATGCCACGGGGGCACTGGTGGTCTCCAGGGCGGATGAGATTATTATTGTTGCTGTTATTATTATTTTAATTTTTGCACGCAGAGTGAACGTGGGTAGGGTGAGGTGAGCCAGGCTCACGGGCCAGGAGTGAGGCGGAAGAACCCAGAGCCGTGGGCGGCAGGAAGCCCGGACCCAGCCCAGCACAGCTCAGAGCCGGGCCAGGTGCGGCTGGTCCAGGCCCAGCGCTGCTTCACCTGGGAGGACGTGGGTGCTCGGCCATGACCGTGCTGCAGCGCCTGGGAGCTTAAAGAAATGAAAATAATAATCGCTCACTCATTTCTTGGTAAATTTTTATTGTGCATCTACTATGTGTCCAGAACTATTCTAGGAAGCAGGGGATACAGAACTGAACAAAATAGACCAAAAAAAAAAAAAAATCTTGCTCTCCTGAAGTTCACATGGGAGTGAGGGGAAAGAGATAATATACATGACATAGAATTAGGAGGTGGGAGAGGAAGTCAGGCAGGGCCTCTCTGAGAAGCTGACATTTGAGCTTAAAAATAATGGTATCCAGGGTCCAGTCACAAGGGTGTGTTCATTTGTGACAGTTCACTGACTGTGACACTTGTGAGTTTGCGCATTTTTCGGAACGTATTTCATACTTCAATAAAATGTTTGCTTAGATTTAATGCTGTCAACATCATAAATAGTAAGAGCTACCATTTACTATTAATATATTCATTACGTGTTTCCACGGGGCAGGCATCTTCCATGCATTAGTTCATTTCATCCTCACAACACAACTAAAACATTATTGTCTCCACTTTTAGGAGAACAACTGGGGTTCAGTGTGGCTCTCTTGCCCTTGACAGACACCGTGGACATGGTCATGAATTATCCAATTCCTATCCTGCAGAGGCTTGAAATCTCAATAGAACATAGCACAGGGGCAGGGAGGGGGTGATGGGGAAAGTGTGGGTGCTGTGAGAGCAAAGAGAGGGCCATGTGACTGATCCTCAGAGGCTGGTGTCAAGGCAGGCCTCCTGGAGGAAGGGGTGACCCAGCCAGGAGCTGAACTAACCAGAGAAGGGGGTTGAGGGTGTTACAGACAGAGGTACGGGGAAAGAGGAGTGTGTTTGGGACTGGAGCCTAGCCTGGCTACACACGGAACCCAAGAGAAGAAGAGAGGATTAACAGGCCATGTCATGAGGAGGTAAGCTGGGGCCGTGCCAAGAAATGTATCCTGGAAGGGTTTGGTGCATATAGGACTAAAGCTACATTTTGAAGAGATCACAAAATGTGAAGAGATCTCAAAATGTGTGGCGGCCAGATGGGGGATGGTTACAGGACGGGGTGGTCATTGGGAGGGAGGGATTGGGATGACCTGACACAGGTACATGGCAGTGGGGGCAGGGTTCAGGAGATACCAAGGAAGCTGTATTCCCACGCTTGATGTTGATTAGTTGTGGCCAGGGATGGGGAGGGAGAAGGGATGCCCAGGTTTCTGACTTGGGCAATGAGTAGCTATTGGTACCAGGATGTGACATGAGGAGGGAAGACTTGGCAGCAAGAGAGAAGGATTTGAAGGGCCCTTAAAACTTCCCAGTAGCCCAGTAGCAATGACAGGCAGGCAGACCCACAAAGGTGTGGAGTTGGCACTGCTTGTGTAGACCTGGGTAGCTGCTGAATCCCCTGGAATGGATGAATGAGCAGCAGGAAAGAGGAAGGTGCAGGGTGGATCCCTTTTAGATGATGGGGTGTGCTCTGCCTCCACTGCTGTAATCTCAAAATCCCTGTACTTTCCAAACCCAGCACTCACTTCATTGTAATTATTGACTTGTCTGATGTGGTAGATGGTATTACTTATTCCTAATTCTCTCTTCCCTCTCTGCCCTGCTCTGGCTTCCCTTCCCACTGATTTGGGGTTTGGCTATTGGCTTGCTTTCGCCAACAGAATATGAGCAGACAACATATGTTAAACCAAACCAGAGGCTTTACACGTCCTGAGGGTGGTTTGGCTAGTACTCTTGGACTCCTGACTTGCCTTGAGCAAACTCCAAGTAGTCACTGGTCCCAGAATGAGACACACATGGAGCCAACCAGAACCTGCCGGGCAGTTTGAAGAGCTCCTCTTTTTCCCAGGGACCCACAGAACTGCGAGCAAGAAATAAATGTTTGTTGTTACAAGCCACTGAAAGTTGTTGGTAATAGTCTTACCATCTTAAAGGGGGAAGACAGGTCTATAAGTAGGGTTTTGATATATTAATGTCTTTTCCTTTAAGATGGTGAGATCATTATTAATAATAGCTAATGCTTATTAAGCATTTACTAAGAACCAGGCACAGTTCTAAGGCTTAATTGTCACAAAAATCCCGTGAGATAGGTATTTTTATTATACCCACTTCCATGAGGCACAAAGAGGTTAGGTAACTTACTTAAGGTCACACAAGTAACAACAGGGTCAAGATTTGAACCTAGGCAATCTGCAGACATAAGGGGAGCTATAGAGGTGCTAGTGAGGAACATCTCTCTGGTGATGGCTTCACCACTGTGAATTGCCTTAAAGCGTTAAGTCTATGGAAGAACCCTAGCTGGCTACTCTCAGCATCCATTTCAGCTTAAGCCAGCCTTTCTGGAAGAAACCCTTGGGACTATAGCATGTGCTTCAGATCTGAGCTCATCCCCAGAGCCACCAGAAGCCAGGCCTCCAGGCTGCCCAACCTACATGAACCTTTATTTCCACAATGCACTATGACTGTAGCCTGAAACAGGACTGCCTAGCCAACCAGCAGACCTGTGATATATGCTTG